TGAACCATATAAAGATTTACTAGAACCAAATAAATATTTACTTAAACCAAATAAATATTTACTGGAACTAAATAAATATTTACTTGAACCATATAAAGATTTACTAGAACCAAATAAATATTTACTTAAACCAAATAAATATTTACTGGAACTAAATAAATATTTACTGGAACTAAATAAATATTTACTGGTACCAAATAAATATTATTACTTGAACCATATAAAGATTTACTCGAACCAAATAAATATTTACTTAAACCAAATAAATATTTATTGGAACCAAATAAATATTTACTGGAACCAAATAAATATTTACTTGAACCAAATAATTCTTATATGAATTAAACAAAACTGTATTTAAACCAATAATTTCTGTATTAGAAATATTTTCGAAAAAAGCTTGTCCGACTGATACAGTCTTTCTCTACTAATATCGAATTTACAGACAGGAAAAAATATGTCTGGACCTAAAATGACCTTTTCTACTTATAAAAAAAAATGTATAGATAATATATTTAATCCCAAATCTCTTTTTATTCTCTTATTTTGAAAAATCAAGTTTTTTTTAAAGACGTGAAGAAATAAATCGTTTAAAAAAAGATATAAGACATTTTAATGGAAAAACGTATGAAACCCCTGTCAACTATCATCTTGTCTGGCTGTCTTATGGGTTCGATATTCACCTACTAATCGATGTGATGAAAAGCCATTCTATCAATCCACATCACTTTTTTTTATACCTTTCTGAGGCTTCAATACTTGAAGACATTCTACAAATATATATATATAACATATAAGAAAAGACATTAGTCAACTCTTTTACTTTTATCCATGTCTTGCTATCGGTTTAACTTTCAGTATATATAAAGAACCTGAGCGGTATAATTAGATATTTAAAAGCAAAAATAGATTTTCTATACACTATATACTTTCTACTTCATCGAGTTTGAAATAACATTTCCTATACCTTAACAAGATATTAGCAATTGATTTTTTTCAAGATGAAATAAAAAAGAACGAACGAATTTTCGTGAATTTTTCTAATTATTCGGAAAACAAAAATTCGTCTAAATTATATCTACACAGAAAATTAAAAGGCATTAAAATAAGCTGCAACGCTTATTATTTTAATCCAATTTTGCTTATTTTAATACAAAAATGGATTAAAATAATCAAAATTGGGTTAAAATAATAAGCGTTGTAGCTTATTTTAATGCCTTTTTATTTTCTGTGTAATGAAATTCCTTAAAAATTTTAACTGCTAATTATTATAATATATGAGAAATTTATGCGCACATATATCGGAAAACAAAAAAAAGTTGCCCTTTTTTGAAAGAGAACGAAAAAAAATTAAATACCCATTTTTCTCAAAACTGTCACAAGTTCACAAATTTCCAAAAGGGACTTTTGTGCTCATGAATTTAGTCAGCCATGTCCCTCGTTTCACACTTTAGAACAGAATATATCTGTGCAGCCTGCAAATAATAGCTAGAACACGCCATATTAAAATCCAAACTCTGCACTAGTCAAGAAAGAACCGTTTATATATATATATATGAACAGAGAAAGAATGTGTCTCAGAATTGAAGATAGAAAAATTTGAAAAGAAACGAAAAAAGAAAAATATATAAGGATATTGAAATCTTGCATGTATTAGAAATTCCTCTTCACCCAGTGTAGAAAAGAATAAAAAAAAGGAAAAAGAAAAAAAAAATATATATATATATGTATTTAAGGAACATATATAGTAGGTCGTATAAAGGGGTATACATATGGAAGTGAAAGACAAGCTCCAGCAATAACAGAGTGCACGTCATATTAAATCCTGGTTGTGTTGCTTTTCTTATTGCGTTGGAGGTTGCCAAGGAGAGGTGTATTGCTCGCAACAGGGTGAAACAGCGAAGGAGGAAAATAATCTTAGTACACTTACACTTGCATCCGCCCCTTTTGTGGTATCTCATCTTCTCGCGGTTCCTCGACCCCTTTTACACAGTAATTTTTCACCTTAATCAATGTAATGCAGACAACCCCTATATATGTGTATATTCACACGAAAGATGCGCACACGCCTTTCAACTCGCGAACCACAAAAGAAACTCTTAACGAAAGTATTGTGAAAAACCAAAATATCGTGTAATTTTAATTTAATTATTTTTTCAATTGTATTCGCATTTTTTGCAATAAAAGGTGTTATATTATATTATTATAATCAGAAATAATTTCAATCGGTTTGGTAAAAATTTTTTTCTGTACTGTACATGCGATAACATATTTGTACTAAATTTCTGCTCTCTAGGTCAAAATGGTCAGAGCTACATTTCTCCTGTAATCTAATTTGTACCGAATTATAGCCCTCTAGGTCAAAATGGTCAAAGCTAAATTTTCCTGTAATCAAATTTGTACCAAATTTCTGCTCTCTAGATCAAAATGGTCAAAGTTAAATTTTCCTGTAATCTAATTTGTACCGAATTTCTGCCCTCTAGGTCAAAATGGTCAAAGCTAAATTTTCCTGTAATCGAATTTGTACCAAATTTCTGCCCTCTAGGTCAAAATGGACAGAGCTACATTTTTCCTGTAATCTAATTTGTACAGAATTTTAGCCCTCTAAATCAAAATGGTCAAAGTTATATTTTTCCTGTAATCGAATTTGTACCAAATTTCAGCCCTCTAGATCAAAATGGTCAAAGCTAAATTTTCCTGTAATCTAATTTGTACCGAATTATAGCCCTCTAGGTCAAAATGGTCAAAGCTAAATTTTCCTGTAATCTAATTTGTACTAAATTTCTGCCCTCTAAGTCAAAATATTCAGAGTTAAATTTTTCCTGTAATCGAATTTGTACCAAATTGCAGCCCTCTAGGTCAAAATGGATAGAGCTATACATTTTTCCTGTAATCTAATTTGTACCGAATTTTAGCCCTTCTAAGTCAAAATGGTCAAAGTTATATTTTTCCTATAATCGAATTTGTACCAAATTTCTGCCCTCTAGGTCAAAATGGACAGAGCTACATTTTTCCTGTAATCTAATTTGTACCGAATTTTAGCCCTCTAAATCAAAATGGTCAAAGTTATATTTTTCCTGTAATCGAATTTGTACCAAATTTCAGCCCTCTAAGTCAAAATGGCTAAGCAATATTTTTTCCTATAATCTAATTTGTACCAAATTTGAACCCTCTAGATCAAAATGGTTAATTGTAAGTTATATTTTTCCTGTTCTACAAATAATTACAAATTTGTACCATATTTCAGCCCCCTAGGTAAAAATGGTTAATTGTAAGTTATATTTTTCCTGTTCTACAAATAATTACAAATTTGTACCAAATTTCAGCCCTCTAGGTCAAAATAGCTAAGCAACATTTTTTCCTAAAATTTAATTTGTACCAAATTTCAACCCTATGCGGGTAAAAATGATTAAATTCAAATTCTGTGAAATTCAAACTGAATTGAACCCTAAAATACGAATTTTAAAGACAATTAACTCCTTTATGGGAATAAAGCCTTTCTATTATAAATATATAATTGAAATTATGAGAGAGTATATAGCTCATTAGAGAGAATGTTTTCAACGAAATTGTATAATAAATTTTTGAGATAGTTGGTAATTAGGAAAATTAGTATATTGGTTGTGAGGCATTATTAGGAGAATGGGATTCGTCTGAGACGTTTGGTATGCTTTCATGAAAGTCTAACGGAAGATCAAACCCTTGTAACTAAGATGCACTACAAGATATTCCAATTAGGTGTTTCTCATCTCTACATGAAAATTATTTTCCAAAAAGTATTTATTACATTTAATACAAAGAAAAATGACAAATGCGATTTCGAAAAAAAAATTATATTTTTTCTACCAAAAAATATGATATTTTGTATAAAATAAACATTTGCATTGATTAAAAAAAATAATAATAATAATTTCAAAAGTGCGATAAAAAAAAGAGGGTATTCAATTCTTTGAGTGACAACATCTTAAAGAAGTCAAGAAAGCGAGCTTCCACATTATTGAGGTCGAGAGAAAAGAAAATGCAAAGCATCAAGAACCAAAAAGGTGTAAGGGTGGAAAGTAGAAAATTAATATTTCAGTCAGACACATCAAGTAGGCGGCTTCATGCCTCGATCCCTGCTAAATTTTCTCTGAAAATTTCAAATCTATCCTTTTTCTTTTTTTTTTTTGATAAATTCTTCAAAGTCTATTTTTTCGATTTTAATTATAGAAAATTAAAGATGAAAAAATGAATTTTCGAAAAAGTATAATAGAAATTAAATAAATGCGACATGTGAACATTATTATATTTGAAGAAAAATATTATTACGAATGAGGTTATTTAAATTTAGATTTGAAATTTTAATCTGAAATTAAGTTCGTCTCTTGAATGCACAATGAGAGTTGGGAAAATTATCCGTGACTTATAACCAATCTCTCTGAATCTTTTTTTTTTTTTCTTTTTTTTTTGTCGAAACGACATTTCGATTAAACTTCAGCCAGTGTATTAGGAGCTATCTGCTCTAGATGGCCGGTCCATTCGTCTTGTTTTTGTCACAAAGGTGGACGAGATCAACCCGTTAGGGTATGGAGCATAGAGACCGCATGATTGTTATCGTGATATTGAATGTCACTACCAGAATCATTACTTATGTAACTTATTTCCAAAAACTCGACAAATCAATTTTTAATAATAAAAATTACTTTTTCAAAAATTCTATTTTTCATTCTTTCTTTTTTTTTTAAATTCTAATTTTTGCATATAAAAGATAAATATATAAATTATTTAACCGATTATAAAAATGGAAAAAATGGTGCAATTTTTATATTTACTGCATTTTAAATTAATCAAACAGAATAATTTAAATAATCAAATATATTGGAATTAATAACTAGTTATGAATAATTAATCAAATCAGAATAATTTAATTTTCCATTTTGGAAAAAAACTGATGGTTGAAAATAAAATTTTGTCCAACTTATAGTTTCGTAAATATGCAGTTGGATTAAATTTTATTAATTTTTTATTAAAAATTTCAAAAAAAGAATTGAAAACAAATTTTTTTGCAGCATAGAAAATTTCAAATATTTGTTTTATAATGGGGCTAATATAATGATATTAATTTTCCAGTTGTAAATTTTTTTTTTTCCCTATACACGAGGGATAATCGCAGGTGTATTCTCGATATTGTATATATAAACTAACGAATAAATTAAAGGTCTGTAGACGGCAGATGGTTGATCTTTGGCTAACCAAGCAGCTAAAGCTCTTCTATCTAATTGCATCAAAGCAAGCAGATCATGTATTGTTGGGACAACATCATGTTGTATTTGATTAATCATCAGCTTAACTTACAGGCGTGTACTATATCTAATAGCCAATAAGTAATTTTGCAATCATTTAGTAATCAAACGAATAATTTTTAATATTCATAAAAATTAATCAAAGACATTTAACTTTAATTATTACTATTTATAAAATTATTTTCAAAAATTATAATTTTCGGATCAACAATTTTAATATAATTATCCAAAATTTTTAATCAATAATTTTAATACCTACAATAGTAAAATTTTAATTAATATTTATTATTATTATTTATTTTGTCTTAAGGACATTTCCATGAAAAAGCGGACATTCTGTCCATGCGTCACGAAGCCTAAATTTGTCTGTAACTTTTTTTTTTTGAAATTATTATAAAATAAAATTTTTTTTTGTTCGTTGCAAAAAGATAACAAAATAGAAACGTTTCCAATTTTATAAGAAAATTGAAAAAAGATACAGCCGTTTTAGTCATCGTGACGCACGAACGAAAATTCAATTGTTCTCGTGGAAATGCCCTTAAAATAGATTTTTTTACTTTTCGATTTTTTAATAAATAATTAAAAAAATTTTTTTTAATATTAATTATAAATTTTTTGCTAATTTAATAATTGAAAATTGTCCCAAAATACATGAAAAGCTTTTTTAAGTATAATTTTTTGCCAGTAAATGACTCACCGATCGATGATTCCAACGTTGTTGAAGACTGAAAATGTTGTGGGAAATTTTTCTCTCCATCTTTCTTCAGTTGAGGAAAATTCTCCTTTTTGCAGAAACCAGAAGTATGTTGAATCCTATTTTTGTATTCTTCTTTCTGTCCATTTACGACTGCTTGAATAACTGTGAGCTGAAATAAAAAAAATTTATTCGATTTTTATTAAGACTATATTTAAATTAAAAAATTTTAATTATTTTTCAAGACAATAAATTGAAAATTTGATTATCTTTTTTTTTTTTTTAAAGTAAAAAAGTTTAAGTAAACCACTCTGTTTTTAGAAAGTTTAAAAAAGAAAAATTATTATTTTTATTATAAGCATAAATTTTTCGATTTATGAGAAGAAATCTGTTTGGTTAAAAAAATTTTACTTTTGTTATCAAACTTATGTTCACTGCTTCTGTATTTTACTGAGGTTTACGAAAGTATTTCTAACAGAGTAAACAAAGAGAAATTCCTTCTTGTATGTATATGCAAGGACAGCGTTGAATTTTATCTAACCTTTTGTATATACCTGACTTCTGTGCGTCAGGTATACGGAATAAGTAAACAAATTAGAAAATAAAACTTTACACAGTTCTTATAATGATATTAAATATTAAATATTTAACAGCAAATATTAATTTATTAAATATTAATATATTATATTATTAGAAAATTTTGATTTTTAGTTTCAAAAAAAAAACGTAAAAAAAATCTCACTAAATAAATAACAAGTTTTCTTTTTTAATTTCAAAAATTTTTTTTACAAAAATTTATTTTTCTCTTCCATCATATATAAAACTTTTTTTTTTTTACAAGTTCGTATCCTCGCGCACCTTTAAAATGAAAATTGTTCCCTCATAATCTACTTTTTCATTTCGTCGGTTATATTAAATTGAATACCTCAATTATTCTTGTTACTGATTATGAAAGCGAAAAAAAAAAATTAATCCAGAAAATTATGTTTTCAAATAATTTTTTCTAATTAATAAATTAATTATAAGAGTCAATTAAAATTGCAACTAAAATTTTTTTTGATTTATTTTTTAACCCGTTGCCTCTCGCTGACGCATATATGCGTAAAACTAAAACTGGCCAAAAGTGCTTTTTACACATATATGCGCAACTTAAAAAAAATGATGAAAAACATCTCAATTATTTCTGAAACTGGTTACTCGAAGGTTTTTGGGGTCGCTGATTCCGAATCTGAGGTCGGTTTTTCAAAATTCAAAATGGCGGATCCAATATGGCGGACGACAATTTGAAAATATGATACAATTCGCTTGAAAATGTTTACTCAGGGGTTTTCGGAGTCGCTGATTACGAATCTGATATCAGTTTTTTAAAATTCAAGATGGCGGATCCATTATGGCGGAAAATTTTTCAAAATTGATCGGATTCGACTGAAGCTCGTTACACAGGGGTTTTCGGGGTCGCTGATTCCGAATATGACATCAGATTTTTAAAATTCAAAATGTCGGATCCAATATGGCGGACGACTATCTGAAAATCTAATGCAATTCGCTCGAAACTCGTTACTCGGGGGTTTTCGAGGTCGCTGATTACGAATAAGACATCATACCCATTTTTAAGAGAATTACATTATATTTTCTAATTGTCGTCCGCCATATTGGATCCGCCATTTTGAATTTTAAAAAACTAACATGGGATTCGTAATCAGCAACCCCAAAAACCCCCGAGTACCCATTTTCAAGCGAATTGCATTATATTTTCAAATTGTCGTCCGCCATATTGGATCCGTCATTTTGAATTTTGAAAACCGACCTTAGGTTCGTAATCAGCGATCCTGAAAACCTTAAGATACCAAGTTTCATAAAAATTCATTAAAATTTTTTTCAACACACTTTTGGCCCAAATAGTGGAAATCTCGTCAACAGTCAAGGGGTTAAATAAATAAATAAAAAAATAAAAATCAAACACATCTTTTTTAAGGAGTCAAATGCCAAAATATTTCGAATTGGAAAAATTATATTATATATAGTTTAGGTAAAAGAAAAGTCTAAGGAAAGTCATTGGGAGCAGTGAATCGTGACGTCTTTTTTGCATGGTGAATGTTGGAAGTCGAGACGGGAGAGAGAAAGAGAGAGAGAGAGTTGCGAGGAGCTAAAGTTGGAGAGGCTTGCAAAAGGGTAGATGCAGAAAAAGAAGGTGCGGCGCATGGTTGCAAAGAGGTAGAAAGAAGGGTTGGTTACTCATACCATCGTTCAAAGACGACTATTTGCTTACATTGCAACCTCTTTTTTCGCTTTTCTCTCTGCCAACTTTCCTTTCTCTCCCTCTCTCTCTCTCTCTCTCCTTTTTTTCTTTCTTTCTCTATGTTTTCTCGACTCTCTTTCCCTTGACTGTTGAGCTTCGAGAATGAAACGGAACTCGTGAAATTATTAATCGCATCTGACGTCCTGTTAATTGACTCGGAATTTTATTTTTACAAGCTTTATAATCAAAAGAAAACACTTGTCACTGTAATAAAATTCAATAAAATTTCAAATTGAAAAGAAAATTTTTTTTCACAAAAAATGAAAATTCGCTTAATTAAATGAAAAATTAAGATAAATGTGGATTGCATTACATAAACACAGTGACGAACTTGGCTAATTTATGTTATGTGATTGAATTTTTTTAAATAAATATAGGAAAATACAATAATATATTATTATCAGTTATTTAGTTCAATTGCTCGCATTAATTAAATGTGGTTCAACCTCAGTTAATTATTGACGTCATTGTACGGCATATATGGACATTAATTTCCATTACACACGTTTATAATGAACTGAATTCGCACAATTTCATTATTAATAAACGTGCTGAATCTATGAAATATGATATATCATATATATATATATTTAACTAGGGATTCTTAATATATATATATATATATATTCATAATTAATAATATAAATTAATGAAATTTAAAATATAACAAAAAAAATTTTTATCAATTATTCATTATAAAAAATTAATATCTGTTATAAATTTTTAACTTTTTCAAATGCCTGAAAAAAAATGCTGCGCGTTTTAAAATAGTTTAACTGTGTAAAATATTGTATAGTGGTTTAGCTTGCTTTAATTAATTCATTATATTATATCCTATATACGCGTATGGTACAGTATATACATATATCGTTTTAGTTATCCGATAAGAATATTCCATGTTCCTATCGGATTTCAATAATCTCTATATGTAAATCATTGTCGTCACATTTCATATTTTATACACGACGATTCCTAAATTAGCGCACAATTAAAAAAAAAAAAATATATATATATATATATATATATATATAATTATTGATTAAGTTATAATTTGAAATATGAACTTTAAACTTATAATTTCTCAATTTTAAAACTTTTAATTTTTAAACTTTAAATATTTATAGAAAAAAAACTTTTTTTTTAACAATAAGTGACAAATTATGTTTTAGAACTTTTTTTAGTAAAAAGAAATGTTTTTCTTTTTTAAGTAAAACGAATACAGACCTTGTTTGTTCACGTTGTATGATGAATGCTTGGCATATAGAGCAAAAGATATAAAATAGTCGACATGCACAATGCATTACTTTATTATGGTCCTTTCTTATCTGCAAGTTTGTTTCTGAAAGAAAAAAGAAATTTCTTTTTTAGTATTGAAGATTTTTTTTTCTAATAGATATTGATTATTATTCTATTATAAAAGTGTAATCAAAATTAATCAATGGTAGTACCAAGTTGAAAATTCATTCAATGTATAGTTCATGCGCGTTCTATATATATACGAATGGGATTTATTCTGAAATTCAATGCGAACGCAGCAGCGATGACAGATTGGCATTCACGCGAGTCTACTGGTACTTTGACTGATATCGACAGCTAATTACCATTATGAATGTTGGGTATCGGATCGTTAAGCCATCGTATCAAACATCAAATATGTTTCTAATATTCGAATTATTGAATGAAATATAGTAAAAATATATTTAAATTAAAAAAAAAAAAACCACGTTTGTATAAATCGCAAATTTTTAAAAATATCAAAATTAAAAAAAATTTCAAAATTTTGTAATCAAACTAATTTTTATAAAAAATTTAATTAATTTTACTATAATTTTTATATTCTCCTTCTTTGACAAAAAAATAAATTATAAAAATAATTACAAGATATTGGGAAAATATAATTCGTCATATATAAATGAAAAATATCGACTAATTTATATGAAAATATCGTTAATTATAATTTCAAATATAGATAATCAAGATTCGATTAAATATAAAATATTAAGAAATTAAATAGTTTTCTATTTTCCATTCATTATTAAAAAAAAATTTATATATATAAATGAAAATCAATTATTAATTTTCATAAATTGATCCACAAATAAAACGTAATTTTAAAATTAAAAAAAAAAATTTTTTTTTAATTTTTATATTCAATAAAAAAAAATTGAAATTCTAAAATTAAATCTCTCTCTTTCTCTCATTGAAAAATTTGTTATGAGAAAAGCAAAAGTTTTTCTATATAAAATTCTCTGAACAAACATTTTAAAGGAAAAATATTCATTAGTGGGAAACCGCTGAAAATAGCAATATATATTGCCTTGGTCTTTATAGTCAAGCAAGAACAACAAAGTAATAGCGATATCACATTTAAACTTTCTCCAAAACCGTCTCATTTTCAAATTACTTGGTTGTACGGGGTTCGGGAGAGCACATTTTAATCAAGTGCTTATTGAGTTGAAAACTGGAATATTATTGCGAGAGGCCTGAGCTTCTCGCTTTGCAATCAGGGCTATATATATATATATATAAGAACATTGCGCGCAAGTTTAGCGCGCGGGACCGAGGAGAAAAAAAAGAAGAAAAAAAAAAAAGTATACCGAGATTTTCGCCAAGAGCTGTAACCGAAATCAGCAGCGAGAGTTTTATACCTCGATTTTCAAAACGCTTTTAGCGTTTTCGTTCTCTGACCTACTTTTAAAGGTTTTCTTGTGTGTTTTTTTTCGCATATAAACTGCGCATATCGAAAAAGTTGAATAAAACGCTTATCGATATACTGGAAATGGAAACTAAAAATTGTTTTTAATAAATGCTCAACAATTTCTTTTTTTAGATAAAAAAAAAGAAAATTTCTTTTTTTATACAGCCAATTGAAAATTTTTTTTTTAATGAAAATAAAAGTCAAAAATATTTTTCGGGGCCAAAAGGAAACTTTTTTTTTTTTACTTTTGAGGACTTTTTAAAAGTCAAAAGAGGCTTTTCGGCTGTATACGAAAAGAGGGAAACAGTTATTATTGATGGTGAAAAAGGGTTATTCACCTTCGTTTCTCATTTCCGGATCGTGGGACAAGCACAAATCACGATATAATTGCTAAATGTAGCGTGACGCGCTCGCTGTCGAACGCGAAAGAAAACGGAGCTGTTCGCGAATGTAAAATTGATAAAAGTAAAAATTCTGTATATATATAAATTTTTTTTTTTTATGATTGTATATCCGTAATTACAAGATAACTTCATTTTTTAAAATTTCTTCAATTTTTTTTTTTTTTGAAATTTAATTTTACGTAATTAAAAATTTTTCACTAGTATTTTGTATTTAATATCAAAAATTCGCACACTAAATAAAAAAATAGAGAAATGTTATTTTCACGTTTATATATCCCAGAGCTATTTTTTTATTAACTGTTTTTTACTCAAATAATTACGTGGCTCACAGTACATAAAATTTGTACGAATTATGTTGAATTTTTTTTTTCCTGCTATTTTACAGAATCAGATCCATGCGGGGGTGATAAAGAAGATATAAATTTTTTGTGATAAGAAAAGGAGGAAAAATGGACACAATATGGAAAATCATTTCACATTTGAATGTGGAAAATTTAGAAAATAAATTTATAATTTAATATTAAATTTAGCCCATGTAGATAAAATTAAAAATTATTAATTAAATATTAATTAATTAGTACATTGAGAAAAAAATTTATTTGATTCAAATACATGATTACTTGACTATATTATCAAATAAATATTTACTTGAACCAAATAAATATTATTACTTGAACCATATAAAGATTTACTAGAACTAAATAAATATTTACTTAAACCAAATAAATATTTACTGGAACCAAATAAATATTTACTTGAACCAAATAATTTTTATTTGAATTAAATAAATTGTATTTGAACCAATAATTTCTCTATTTGAAACAAATACGATATAGAGTATAGAGTATAGAGTATTTAAATCAAATAAATTTTTTTTTCAAATTTATATTTCTCAATAATAATTGAGTCAATAATAATAATTGATCAATTAGTTGATAAACTTTTGACAAAAAATTGTCATAAAAAAAAGATAGCTCCTATTGCAATTTTGTATTATAATAAACATTTCTTAAATGTCTTTAACTGAAGCGCATATTATAACCGCGACATGAAAACATTAAGAAAACAAATTTCGTTCTCATTTTTCCAAGGTATATATGGCGTAACCGCGCGCATATATAAAATGGTCCACACACAACTGCTTCCGGGCATTGCCACATAATTTACCCTGTTTCACCATGATACGACTTATATATGGTATTATCTTGAGGAATGATAAATAGCACGATAAATAATGACAATGTGCCTTGGTTTTGGTGTAATTCACGGATAATTCTTGTGACTGTCAGCTCCATGTCTGCGTGCGCGAGGTTTGCACTCAAGAAAAAGGGAACAAAAGCAACTGAGAGTAAAAGAAAAAGAAGAAGAAAAGAGAATATAAGAAAACACGGGTGAGCGCGCAACCAGCATCGACATCGAAAATTCGGAAACTACAATGAATGGAGCTACTACCTGACCTCTTAAAGCACGTGCATTAAATTTACGGAAATGGCGTAACACACACACACAACAATGTCTCTTTCCTTCTATTATCTTCTAATTCTAAAAAGAAGAGACAGTAGATTTTCATTCTCATTTTCCGCGTTTCGCCAAATGTGGCATTATTTAGCTTTAAATCGCCTCTCTCTCTTGCTAGCGTTTGCTAAAGTGAAAATTTCCACTTCCGGTTTGCCACCAGGATACACACATATGCTACAAGACTTCACGTTATTCTACATTTCACACTAACAGTTTTGAACAAAAGTTCAAAATGAAATATTACATATATATATATATATATATATATATATATATATATATATATATAAAGCGAATTGCATTTCTCTCGTATATTTATTTGTCTAACAATATTAAAATTTGACTAATTAATTTTTAAAATAAAGAAAAATTAATTTCCTCTTCGGTTTTTTATGCTAACGTTTTCAGGAATAAATTTACAATTTGAAATTTATCGATAGCATTAAATATAAAAGAGAATTTCTTGCAATTTTCGTGAGAGACAAAACGATCTCTGGTATTAAATAAAATAAAAAAAAAAAAAAGAAAATATCCACTTACGATCACACAATTTTTCCATTTTCGTGAAAATTCAAAAAATCGTACTCTGCAATGACTCTATATATATATATATATATATATATATATATATATATATATATATATATGTGTGTGTGTGTGTGTGTTCGCCATATAGAAACATGTGTATTTTATGTTACATTAAAATCATATGATCATACTTTTCGTTACTAGAATAGATTTGCAAAATCCTCGGCACATAAAATGCAGACTTGCGGATGGTTTTCGACGAGAAAGAGAGAGATAGAATACGTGGTGAATTCATCGGTGTGATTTTAACGATGGAATGAAATTCCCTTGAATTGCGACGTATACTTTCGAATCATTTTCATTTCATATATTTTTTTTTTTTCATAAAAAATATATTATTTTCAAAAATTCTGTAAATGCATCTTGTATACTTTTTAGAGAAATGAAGCTCACCATTTGAATAAAAAGTCGTCTTTATCCATTCTTCATCATATTTTGCTTTTCCTCATTTGTTAAATCTTCAAAATTTCTTTTCCAAAATTGTGAATTTCTTTCCAAAAATTCCTGAAACAAAAATTTATTTTTAATTTTTCTATATTAATATTGTATACAAATATAAAAGATATAATAGTCGGGAAACTTCATTAGTAAATTTTATAAAATTGTAACAATATAATTTTTTTTTTTTTTCAAATAAAAAAATCCAACCTTTCAAATGAATGAGTTGGAATCTGAATGAGATTCAATAAGCATTGACAGGTCGACATCGGTTTGTAATAAACTCGTGTCGCTAGATATATATATATATATATATATATATATATATATCGTTATATAGATATAGCTCCCTACGCTCATTTTGTGGAATATAAAAGTTTTACGAGTCACATGGAGGGGACTGATGAGTTCGGCACACGTATAATGTAGGTTTATCAATCAATAACTATCCGAGTTTCGCGGATGCTTTTCCTATAGAATTTATCTGCCTATAAATCAGAGATCCATGCGAATTTCTACTCGCGGAAGAAATGGCTCAATTAAGAACAATTCGCAAAATCAATTCTGAATGATTTGCCTATATGAGAGAAAAATTCTAAATTTAAAAGTCAGAATTGATTTTAATTTACAAAACATGAATGAAATTTGTCATTAATTGTTAAATAAATATTCTATTCTCTTAATAAATAATAGAATCATTTTTATTTAAATATATTTGTTTATTCAATTTTTTCTAATTATTTCAATTTTAAAAAAATTCTTTCAAATATTTAAAGTAAAAGTAAATTAGTAAAAATCAAATATGAAAAATGTGTTTAAATATTCCCATTTCATAGAATATTTTCATTTCGTTTGCAAATTAAAATTAAAAAAAAAAAAAAAAAAAAAAATATTTGTTTTATGAAGGATCATATCCAACATTATATTATTTGATATTTTCTTAACGAGAAAAAATATTGTGAGCAATTAATTTCTCTTTACATATGGTTTTTACTTTTTTTATATTATATATATATATATATATATATATATATATATATATTCTATTTACATAAACTAAATGATATGGATTTTTTTTTATCAAAAGGATTATATGTGCATTCTTTCTTTTAATCAAAATTTTAGATTTTAAATTACACAAGATAAATTCATGGAAAAAATTTTTTAGTTTTTTTGAGGATTTCAATGTTAGTGTAAAGTACCTTTGATCTTAATACACCGTACTTTAATTTAAATTCAACAGAAAACTTTTAAAAAGTAAAAAATTGTAAAAATGAATTTTATACAAAAAAAAATTTGTAATCATTCTATTCTATTAAAAATTATAAAGAGAATTTTAAAAAAAATATATGAATATTAAAAAAATATATATTATAATTGATATAAAAGAAATTTTAAATATAAAATTCGTTTTGAAATATAAATCAAAATAACTGATGCTTTTCAATACCTTTGTAATTTAAAGCAAAATATGTTTTGTTAACGAGAAATCTAAATACAACAATGGAAACGTTTTATTTGTTCATAAAAATATCAATTTCACTCTTTATATACATTTTATAGGAAGTTTGTTAAAAACCTCATTTTATGCATTTTTAAAATCCCCTGAGGTTTGATGTTACAAAGTGAAATATTAAAAAAAATTTCTCATTGTCATTTAAAAAAAAAAAAACGGTACGTCTAAATAGAATTTACGAATAAATGAGAAAAATCGTTACTATTCAATTTTTTAATAAATCATTAACTATCTCGAATGTAAATGCAAAAAAAAAAAAAAATTTCCCCGCCTAATGCTCTGTATAATATTGACAATTTTTTAAACTCTTTTCTTTTAAAAAATGCTAACGCTGAGATAATCCGTGTCTGAACCAGACGACCATCCATCATTGTAACACAACTGCTGTAAAGAATTTAAATCGATATTTTCAACCTACACATGAAACATTAAATTCTATTTTAAAATTCTAATAAAAATTTTATATTATTAAGTATTTATTACCAATAATATATTTCATATAAAAAATTTCTTTTCTTTTTTTAAAAAACCTGGATTTTTTTTAAAAAAAGCATAATTTTATGTTGTGAGCACAAGTTTATAGCCTTCTGGGTAAATAAATCTATTTATATTAAAAATGTGTCTTCAAAAAAAAAAAAGAAAAAAAATTAAAAAAAAAAATATTTCTACAAGAGAATCTGCTTCGCAAAATGAAAATAATATTAAATTTGAGTAGGTCGCAGCGTGTGTTTCACTTTGGTCGGAAAATATTTTCAAGGAAACTATTTCCTGCGCGTTTGAGACGCAGCAAAAGTGTTGCTAGCTTTTTGCACATTGACATAACCGTTTATTACTTTAATAATTTCCTCAGTGCAAGTAGTGAAATTAAATTAAAATGCTAAATTAAAATACACGTTACGAAAATTAGAAAATCACTAAATATTATTTAACATTATTTAACAGAAATTTAAATGATAATTTCTAATTAATCGAGTATTAAATAATATTTTTGTCAAATGAAAATTCTTTTGTCTAAAAAAATTCTATTGACAATTATTGATAAAAAGAAACAAAAATTCAGACAAATATCCAAGTAAAAAATTTTTCTCTTCTTTTGATTAAATGAATATTCTGATAAGAAATACATGCAAATAAAAACGAGTGCTTTGATCCTCATATGTAAAAGTATGTTAATATTTTCCTATTCTTTATGTTTGTTTAGGAGAGAATAAATCTTTTCCTTTTTTTTTTAACAATAAAAAAAATTCAATTTCAAAGTTTGTGTTAAAATTTAAATTCAGAATCAGTTTGCGTGTAAAATATGAAAAAAAATTTACTCTATTGTAAAATATTCCGCTTAGCTAATAAAAAATATTTTAGAGTTTTTTAATTAATAGAAATTAAAATTTACCCCACATGAAAGGAATCCGTTTCTATATTTTGCATCAAACATTTTCCTTTTTTCCTGTTTTTTTTTTTTAGCAGAATGTCGAGTTTCGTGCAGAAATATAGAGTCCAGAGCGTTAAGTATTCGAAATTGATTAGAAACTTGATCCATCAAAATTGTTAAATTTCTTCATTGACGTTTCTGAAACAAAAATTGATTTTTATATTTTCTGTATTATTGCATATATTTTTTTTTTATAAAAAAAACAATTGGATAAAAATGAATTATAAAATTAAATTTTCTAATTTTCTAAATTACAATTTAATTTTCTAAAAATTTTGTTTAAAAATAGAAAATTATAAAATAATAAATTTGCAAAAATGATAATTTGAATAAAAATATATTAAATATTTTTTAATTTAATTTTCATATAAAAACAAATATTAAGAAAAAGTGTTGATCAATTTTTGTAAAATAAAATGTAATTTTCATGTTTTTCCAATAAAATTCCAACTCTTATTTCAATCAATTAGGAAACTATTGAAACAAAATATATTTGAAAAAAAAACCTTTCTGATTTTTTAAATTTAATATGAAATACTGCGTTTTTTTTATTAGCGCATAAAAAGACAATAAAATTCTAGCCATACAGAGAAACTATTCAATTGACGATCGTTTACGATATGAATATGTAACCGAGCGAAACAAACGTCATTCAGAAACGAGATAGCAATCAACAGAGAGAATAAATCTCAAAGTGACATATATGACAAGATTTCATCATTTATGTATGTCAAATTACAAAAAAAAAAAAAATAATAATAAAATTGATCAAATTCTTTCGATAATTGTTATCATAAAATTTATTTAAAGCTCTTGTAACTATGGAAAGACTATATAGGTAAATTTTCCTTTGAATGTTATCTTGGGATTTTCTCGTCTATATAAGAGGAAAAAAAAATAGAGTGAGTAGAAACTACTTTTCGCGATACGAGCAAGGGTACCACACGTTTTAAGTTGTGAGTTGTATTTTTTTTTCTTTTTCTTTTTGTTAATAACGTCACGCTTCCTTCATTCCTGCCTCGTGCTTTTCTACTTTCCGCCAGCCACATTGCAGTCTCACACTGTTTTCGCTGACCAAAATAAATTACGAGCTCTACTTCTTGCAACAAGACCTCTTGACCTCAGCTGAGAATTTCTATATAGTATAAAAAAAAGGGCCAATCAGGTGGCTTAAAACAAAATATTTCTTTCATCATTCGCCTTCTCGTTTCTTTAATACTATATACATGAATTTTTTCCTTTTATATTTTTTTTTATCCCAATGTTTATATTTTTCCTATATTAAAAAATAAAATCTGTTCTCTATTTTTTTTTAAATTCTCGAATTTATTTAAAAATATAATCTAATTATTTAGAATAAAAATGATTACTTTTAGAAAATCTATTTTTTTTTTTTAAAAAACGTATTCCACTATAATACCATCGTATTTTAGAACAAATTAATAGCTAATTTATGAAATGACCGATATTGTAAGAGCTTTTCGTGCTTGGTAATTTAGTAAACTTTGAACATGTGAGAATTTCGTAGAGCTTTTGTCGAAACGCGGGATACCTTTTGTATAATGGAATGTCGGGATCTTCTAGAGCACATTTTGTGGTCAACATTTCACAATTATACGGTCGGCATAATTAGAATAAAATGAGAAAAGACTGAGGGTCCAAAAGTGGCCCTCTCTTCTTTTCTCGCTCGACTTCCTCGTTGAATTTTTTTTTTTTTTCCTTTTTTTTTACTCGTATTAATGCTTTATTACAGCCTCTCAATGAAAACCACAGCTGTCGGATGCAATTTGTGGCTTTATTCATATATGAATTTGCGCACTGTCCCTTTTCATTCTCTATATGCACTATTTATATGCTTTGAACATTTTTTTTTTGTTCTATCTCATCCAACATTTTTTTTTTTTTTTTTTTTTTTTTTAGTATAAAAGTCCTTTCAAAAGTAAAATTATTTGATTTATTCTCCTCTGTCGTTGTTTTTTTACTTAAAAGTTAATATAAAATAGATGAGTGGAGCTTTCTACTTTGAAATATTTCGCCAATGAAATAAATTTATTTGATGCAAATAAAAAAAAAAAAATATTTTTACTTCAATTTTTCGTTTCTCCTTTTCAAAAAGTTGACTTGCACGAAGAAGACGTCTTTCTGTAAAATGTCGGATAATTTCTTTCGCCCTGTAAGCATCGGAAGCGCATTATATTCCAAAATGAAAGTGACTGTCAAAACCGACTATTGAAAATCGATGCCAGACGACATTGTGCGCTACATTCAATGGCTCCTTGGCACGTCCAATTATCGACTTCCTTGTAACATTTGCATTGAATAATGCATTATGTTCCTGAAAAATCAAAAATTTTTTTTTTTATCTTTCTAAAATTCTCTGACCTACATATTAAAAATAAAAAAAAAAAATTGGAATAATTTACATTTGCATTTGAATATAAAGAAAAGATCATAGTCGTAATTTTTGATTTTATATGAAAAACTTATACGAATCGAGCGAATATTAAAAAAAAATATTCCTCTTACGAGAGTAAAATTATATTTGTAAAGAAAAAAAAATTATTTACTAAGAATTTTCTATACTTACTTATTATTTTAAGATCCGGTGGTTTAATATCAGAGAGAAGAAAAGTTGCGCAGGAAAAGTGGATTTTAAACCAATGTAATTTAGTTACAATTCGAGAATTAGACCAACTTTTCTTGTCGCGAAACCAAGTTTCGTCTATGTTGTACAAAATAGACCCCGCCTCACCAGAAAATTGAAAACAGTAGAGAGTCCCAATTCCGCAAAAGTTCTTTCTCTGAAATATAATGGAAACTGTTTTAGCCAAGAATTTACAATGTCTTTCAAGATATATATTGTTTGTAAACTGATATTCCACGAATTTTCAAATAAAATTAATTAAAAAAATTTGTGAATTTCAATTTAATAATTAATATATATATTAATATTAATATATTATTATTATTATTATTATTATTATTATTATATTATTATATATTATTATTAATATATATATATTTTTGTAAAAAAGAAAAAGAAGATGCAAAAGAAGAAAAAGATTAATACAGAGAGGAAATTTTAAATCAGTGTGTCTACTAAAAATCTGAATTAAAATTCCAGGATTTTTCCAGGACTTTCCAGGACAAATTTCTTATTTTTCCCTGGACATTAAATTAGATGACCTTATAAGGAATAAAAAAAATTTTTAGTTTAACTATTATTTTCAGAAATTATTAAAAAAAATAATTAATTAATTACTTAAGTAAATTTTGATTTTACTTATTTAATGAATTTTTTTTTAAACATGATTGACAAAATTATAAATTTTTGAAAATTTAAAAGGAAAATATAAAAAATTCTCAAGGACAAAAATTAAAATTCCAAGACTTTAAAGGACATTCCAGGACATTTCCAGAACTAGTAGACACCCTGTAAATGAATGATAATAATTAAGTTCTAATATTGACATTTCAATTGATGTGTGCAACATACAGAAGGACTCATTAATAATAATTTGAGCTTGTCATCGAAATTCAATTTCCGTACGTCATACCACTATAGTCCACACACCTGTCAATTAACTATGACTAGTAATTAACGCCCCACGAAACTTTTCCGTTAAAAGTTTCTTTTTCTCAAATTAGTTTTTAACAAAATATATATATATATATAACGTTGCGCGCCTGGTATAGAATATAATTTATAATTTTCCAAATACTTGCATTTTTCATATCAAAAATAATGTTAAAATAAATAAAATAATTAATAATATTTAGAAATTATTTTTTATAATCGTCTTTTGATTAAACAAATTAATCTACTATAAATTAACAATTATTAATAATTAATAAATAAAAAAATAGACTGTAAATTAATTCAATTAATAATACACATTTGAAATTAATTATTGACTTTCAATTAATAATATATGACATTTGTCATTTTCATGAAATTGAAATAATAATTATATTCAATTTTGATTCTCTAATTAATTAGATATTCAAAAATTAATAAGGTATTTAATTGCAAAATTTTTAATTCGATTTGAAATAATTAAATAATAATATATAAATATCAAATTTCGTATTCGTTAACAATTACATTAAATTTACCTGTTCATTAAATTTAGATTCATAAATCCCTGCGGTCAGATTAAGGATTCTATTTTCAATTAAAATGACTGATACATTCATATAACAAGATTACAAGTTGATTGAATGCGAAAACGATAATTAGAACTATATATTTATAAAATATATAAACACAAAAATCGATTCTTAGTAATTATCATACATAAAAGGTTGCTTTATAAATAAATATGTCAATTTTTGATATAAATGTACTTTATGTTTCATGGGAAATTTAATTTTATATTGATATAGGAAATTTGATAAACATTTTAGTCAAAATGTATATATAGTATATATATGAAACGAATGAAAATATCTGTATGATTTGATTGACGATACGTAAATTGGGTTGCCATTCACCAGGATTATTATTCCCTTCTGAATAATCAATATATATATAAAATAAAATAGTAATTGTTGAAAATATTTCAAATTTTTCATATAATAAAGAAAATTAATGATAATAGTTTTTTTTCTATTTACTAATTAATGAAAAAAAAAATCTATTTTCCTAATGTATTCGAAATTTCATTAATATTTAATATATATATGTATATAGTTTTAAAGTTTAAAACATTTTCCGGTTCAAATAATTCAATTGAAATTGTATAGAAAATCCCAGGACTATCAGGAAAAGTAATGGAAATTCTTAATGGGTGTCTAGGGACCGAGGGACGAACTATAAGTGCTTAGGGACTACTCCAGAGAGTAGGAAAGGAAACTCGGCTTCTATTCTCTATAATTAGTTTTCATAAATTACAACCGAAATATATTTAATGATATATGTAACTCCAAAAGATGTTCATATATGTCATATACTTGTATAACTTATTGAAGATTTAATTAATTAGAATATCCAATTTAATTTAAAACAAAAAATATATAACGTACAATTAAAAAAAAATATATACAACGTACAATTAAAAAAAATATATATTAAATTTAATTAGCAAAATAATATATTATTAATTTAACATTATTTTTAACCACAAATAATGTATTTTAAATAAGAATAAATAGTTCTTTAAAAAATCGTTAGAAATTGATAATAATTTGTTAGTAATCAATGCAATAAATTTTCTTTTGATAAATATAATTAAATCTCATTACCTTCTTTGCGTCCTGTAATTAACACATTTCATCATCACGTCAGTGTTTCCAAATTTGAATTTCCACTGTAAAAATAAAAAAAAAAAAAAAAGATTGATTAAAATTGGAATTGAAACTGTGACAGATTATTTAACCTGTCATTTTTACAACATGATTTGGAACTATAAATCTTATTAAAATTGATTATTCTTTGAAAAATATTTCACGCACACTGACAAACGTAAAGAAACTTTAATTAACTCAATAACTTATTTATCATTATTATATTAAAACACTAATAATATTGAAAGAAATTTCACATCAACTTTTGTCGATAATCGAAACACATTTTTTAATCATTTATTTGACATCCCAACATTACTATAGGCTTGACCAAAGAAACCAAAAAAGAAGAAAAATATACTCAAAATATAAAACAAAATATTCAAAAAAGGAAATATAAAATTATAGAAAGCACTGCAATTGTAATGGAAATCTATGATTAGAAAGGTTATGTTAACAAAAATACCTGTATGCGCGCGCATACAGGTACACAAAATTTGCACCTCTGCATCACAGGTAGGTATTTCTTTTATCGACACATACATATATGAATATGTATAAAAATCAGTGTATGTATTAGTATATGTATCTATATACACGTCTATAGAAGAAATATATGTACTAAATTATCACTTGATATGTACGATGACGTCATATTATCCGGCAGGTGGTAATTATAAAGTAGTAGTAGTATTTCATATAGTAATAATATTAGAAAAGAAATTCCTAATTTAAAAAACTATATAAAAATTATTTATAATATATTTTTAATAATCACAATTAATTATATTAATTGCATTATTCTCATACTTCTTGATTTACAATGACAATTTATTCATATTTAGTACCTGTATTGCCAAACTTGGTGCTTAGCAGGTCTTCTTTTTTCATTTGTCCTTGAATTCTCCTCTTCTATTGCAAAAAAGTGGGGGAAAGTCGATGCTTGCTAAATTAAAAATTTTCAAAAAAAAATTTCTTCAAGCGACATAGATTTTACCTCAATGACCTCCAGGATGGAACTGAGTGTGCGCGCCAGAAAAGTTAGTTTTTATACTTCGAGCTTTTGCCTGCTGTGCGCTGATTGGCGGGGCCACTTCCAGTGAGACGCTCATTGGTCGGCGCTCTAGCTGCCAACGTCTATAAATATATGTCGTTTTCTCCCACTACTTCAGTAAGCAGTTGACTCTTCCAGACGTATGACCTGCGCAGCTTGAAAAAAAATTTTTTTTAGCAACAAAGTAAACGAGTGAATGATGCTTATGGTGAATAATTCAACCAAGGGGAAATATTGATAAACAATAAAAGACAATTATATTATAAATAGAAGTATATGCTGCTACAAATATTGATGAAATAGGTATATACAAATTTATAATATATTAAAAAACAAAATTAGGAAATACAAGTAAAATCAGATGCCCCCTCCGTAATTACTAAACGTAAAATTCAATATTATTCATAAATCTAATATCAAAATTTTGCATATTTTACTGTATAGAGAAGAATCGTCTAAATTTAGAAGCACACGTCAGTTGACTTTCATCTTCCTATTACGGCTTATTTCTTTTGTGTATACCTCTTTTATCTCTATTTTCCATGAAAGTTGACTTGAATTTTGTTTCAAAGTTGAAAAAAAATCACAGCAGCAGCAGGTTCTCTATTGTTCGTGGGAGAAGGTGAAACGAGTTTAAATTTTTTGAGAATGGTATAACGGCCGGTTGTTCGTTCGGGTACTTTCGGCTCATGGCCGAGTATGCACGAAGGAATCCGAAAGGAAAACGCGCGCCAGACGGTGTTTGTGCGTCGAGCTAACTGGAAGTTTCTGTGCCAAGCCGGTAACAAAGTTACGTCCCGTACATCGAGGAAACAGTGATAAAGTGTGATTTTTTGTTCTCTATAATTAAAGAAACAGTGACAGGGAAAGTTGTGTGAATTATTTAATTGTGTAGTGTTCTTCGCAGAAGCCATAACGACCAATCAATACCAATTCAAGATGATCTTCCGGGCCGGTTTTTTCATCGCTCTGCTTGGCATCACAATCGCTACAGGTGAGTTTTTTTTCTACTTTTGTCGTATAAATGTGTTCTTTAAAAGAAAATTTCTATCTTGCAAAGTAGAACTGAAAACGTACATAACCCTATTTTTTCATTACGCGCCAAAACGATAAAAAAAAAGTTACAATTTTTCCATGAATAGTGTCGGTGGAATCGCGAGGAAAATTATTAGTAATTATTCTTTTTTTCTCTCGTCTCATTAGTGTGTGGGAATATATGTAAGCAGGTCGGTTCCATGAACTATAAAGAATATATACAGGTGCAGGTTGTGTAATTATCGATCAACGAAGTTAACACTTGTCGAGATGTTAAGAGCGATTCTAGATCAAAAAAGTCGTTGTTTTGTTTACAAACATATTTTTAAAAATAATTGAGGCCTTTTTTGTGATTATCTGATGTGGAGTAAACATACCTGTGCTTTATATAGTTACAATTTGTTTGCTTATAAACCTATATATATTGTCGAAAATTTAACTTTACAGGTTAGGTTTTTCTTTTTTGCTTTGTATCTCTGTGCAATATCGTTTCGTCGGGAAATTTATTTTATTACTCATTGTTGTTTACTTGCGCTTTCTCACGAACTGAACGACTCGAAAGATTCCTTGAGTTTGTTGCTCCTTCCAGGTAAACGCTCACTATTCATTTAATTGTCCTTTGAATGCGATTTCAAAATTCAGAATATTCTTTTACTTTGCTGCGGCGTTTATTTTTATTAGATAAGATTTATTTCTTTATTGTACACTTAAATATTATATTCACTATCAATTTTTACTTATTTTTAACAATTGAATTGTTCTTTATTTTTTAAATTTTAATTACTTTCTATTTTTTTGTATTTATAAAACAATTTTTATTTTTGCTCTAGTTTAAATAAATTTTTATTAATAGTGAGCAAATAATGTATTTAATGTAAATTAGTGATATAATTAAATATGAATTTTTGAATAATTAATCATTTTTCATGCTTTTGATATTTAGAAATTCAATTAAAAAAGAGAATAATAATTTTTTGCTATAAACTTTGTATTAATTAATTAACGTAATTTATTATATAAATTAAAAATTAAATATTTTGTTTACTGTTTCCTTCTCAGTGAAATCTATTTGCCTTTGCATATTAGCAGCTTGTTAAGAGCATTGAAATTTGAAATACTATTTGTTATTTCTAAATTAAAATTTTGCAGGTACTTGTTTTTTTTTAATTATTTTCTGTGAATATTCAACTTTATTTGAATAAGTTGAAAATTGAACAATTTAAGTGAGCATTATACAAAAGTTTCTTAGATTAATTATTTTCTTCTATAGAAAAAAAATTCGAGCAATAAAGAAATAATTATTTTATCTCTCAAACATCTCATTAATTTAATTAGTCGATGATATTTACGTGATTAAAATTCATGAATATCCCATCAGCTTAATATAATTTTCCTTCAAATTTTTTTTTTTTTTTTTTGAATAGTCTTGCTTTATTATTGAGCCAAAATAATTATTTTTGTTGAAAAGGTTCTTTCTGAATTCATCTTTCACGTTGAAACTTCGATCTTCTTTAGTATATAGACATAAGAAAGAAGAATAGGATCTGTCGATCTTAATTAGAAGGAATCACGGATATTCTTTTTCAAGAGTTTCTCGCCCTTCTTGAAGCAAATTAAAAAAATTTTTTTTCCCTCTAGTTTTTCACAAAAAAAAAGTTGGTAGATGTTTAATATTTTTTTTTTTCACTTGTTCGAGTTATATAGAATTAATTAAAGCTGTGAGATCGATACATTCAACAGGTCTGGTTATAAGACATTTTTTTCGGAACTTATTGTATTTGTATAAATGCTGATATATGTATATATAAACGAATGACATAATTAAATATAGAACATTTCTGAAGCTTATACAGTATCATAAAATCAATATTATCACATGAGTTGTGATAAGAAAATTCTGTAGTAGTGAATAATTTATAATATAAATATAATTCATATAAATTCAATTATAATTTAAATTTTTATATTAATCGTAAAATAAAATTTCGGATAATTTTTTTTAGTTAATATTTTTTTGTTTTTCTATTGCAATAACCCAGATAATAGTTTCTCTTGTTTAATTTAAAAATCCATTTTAATTTTACTTTAAAGTAATTTTCCTGTTTATCTATATAACTTTGAAGTTATAAATATCAAAAATAAAATTTTTCACACTTTCACTGAAACGCTTTCTAATTTTTTAAATTGTATTTTTTATTTAAAAATTTGAAAATAGGGAGCTGAACTAATTTTTTTGGTTTTTTGTCTAATTACCTGTAATTATACTAAAAAAAAAAACTTTATTTAATTCAAATACTCGATTACTTGATTAATATCAAATAAATATTTATACTTGAACCAAATAATTTTTATTTGAATTAAATAAATTGTATTTGAACCAATAATTTCTGTATTTGAAACAAAATACGATTTAATTGACTCAAATAATAATAATTATTTGAAATAAATATTTATTTGATAATAGTCTAGTAATCAAGTATTTGAATCAAATAAATTTTTTTTTTTAGTGTACAGTAAATTATTTAACTATAAAGTATTGATATATGGAAATATTTTTTTTTTAATTTTACAAAAATATATTTGAAATTTTTGTTTGATTTTTAACTCCAAAAATGCTTTATAATATAAATTTTTTTAATAAATATTATTGTAAACTTGATATGAGTAAAATAAAATTTTTTTTAATTAATATTTTTAAAGTTTGATTCACATATTTTCTGTGGAATGTAATTTTTTATGTTTCAAAAATTCCATATATTCTGAATACCGTTATAGTAAATTTTTTTTTATTTCTGGTATTTTTTTTTTTTTTTTTTTTTTTTTGAAAAACACAAAAAAAAATATAAAATTCTTGTCTTGAAATTCCCCTTTTAATAGTTATTTTATGTGGTATTAAAACTAAGTAGGTTGCCAAGGTTTTAAGGTTTTGATATTACATATATATATATATATATATATATATATATATATATATATATATATACATATATAAAAACCTATTAGACAAGTTTTGTTAATGGAGTTTATAATGTAACGAGCTAGAAAGTGCTTCTCAGGTAGAAATAGATCAACTTTTCTCTTTTTTCCGGTGAGGGCACCAAATAGACTCTTCCTTTCGCAGCAACAAGAAATTTAAAAAAAAATAACGATCTCACACATTTCGATAGTTATCTTTCGGTTTCCGTTTCCTTTGTTTCATATATATATATATATATATAGTCAAATACATAATTTAGCGGGCTTGAAAAATTATGAAGGGTATAGAAACTGTATTTAATTTAAAAAAAAAGAGGGGTTTAACGAATTGGGTAGTTTTGTGCATAGGATATATTACTATTATCTATAACATATATATATATATATATATGTTATAATACACATTTTATTTATGCATGATTCTTATACATAAATATTATAAATTTCTTTTATATTCTAATGCTGCATTTTCAAACGTAAAATGAGTACTCAAATGTTTATACTGTCTCTTCTACCACTAATGACAGAGTGGGCACTGACCGTAACGCGGGTCACGGAACCGAAACCTTGAAGAGAAAGGAATTGTACTAGATATCGCGACCGATGGGTCATCGACCGTGACTCTTGTATACCTGATAGACTCGTTGAACCAGTCCTTTGGTAAAAGAATGAGAAAAAGAAAAAAAACATGATTTATCATTTCTTCTCAAAAATCCTTGTAGTATATATATCTCGTTATCAAAATCTTTAGAAAAATGAAAAATTAAAGAGGAATTTTCTTGGATCATTGTTTTTCAAGAGAATATGAGAAAAAGGTTCTATAACCGCATGACTATGTTGATTGTGTATATACAGCCTCTATTTTCGTTTTTCTTTTTCAAAAAAATCCGTTGCGTGTAGATGTTCCGACCGGTCGGACAAGGAAAGAGAGGGTCATAGAACTCTTCGCTTTAAGTTCGTCCGGTACACAGAGAGTCACGCAAAGTGATTCGAAGGTCTAGACTCTAGAGGAAGATGCAGAGAGGAGAAATTCGTTTGTATGTGCAGTTTGTCTCGATACAGTGTTGAACAAAAGAAAGATGGAGAGGGAGAAAGAGTTGGTATAGTGTGTGGGTTGAGTGAATCAAGGTAGCGGGAAAGAAGAGGAAAAGAAAAAAAGAGAGAATGAGAGAGAGAGAGGGGAAGATAGTGGAAGACCTCAAGAAAAGGAGAAAAGGAATTTGAGATGAGGATAGTATGGACAGAGTTTAGGCATATAGATACTAGCTGCCCTCCGAAATTCGATACTGGCCACGTGAGGTTACTCGATAAACAACATCCTTCACTTTGAGGTTTTCCCCAAAAGCCACCCTCACAGTACAAAATGAAACTGCTTTCAACCTGCCATCAGAGGGCCTTTTTTGTACCGTTGGCGCCAAAAGGCCCTTTCATCCTTAAAGCTGCTTCATACAAAGCTAAACGGATTAAAGATCAATGTGATTCTCGTTTGAATTCGATTATTCTGACACGCTTTTTCAGAAGTCACCTTTTCCTTTGACGGTTGATGTTTGAGAATTCCATTTTCCATTGTTTGATAAAGACTGTTTGGATTGGGGTTTTTTTTTTCGAAACGTCATCTTAATTTGACAAAATAACACCTTTTAAAGCTGATGTGTTCTTTAAAAGGTGTTATTAAAATTTTCAATGGATTCATATTTTTTCTGAGAGATGGATGCTATTCACAAAACAATATCTCTTTTCTTTCCATTCTTATTGTTTCGAACATTTTAGCGAAATTACCTTACACATGCTAAAGAAGTTTTCAACTTATGCTGCAAGAGCACGTCGATGTATAGACGCTATGCTCCAGATGTTCGTAGAGGGTATTCTAATTGCGATAAATCATATGCTTTATTTTTAGTCCGGTATATACGAGTGTCGCGACTCCAGAAGAAGCTTCTTCTTCAAGAAAAAAAAAATATGTTTCACGAGAGATACACTCTC